GTTTTTCTGCAACAAAGAAAAAGTCAAAAGTAATCACGCGTTAGAGCGTGTTCAATAATATTTTATTTTTATTTTTTAAAATAAAATAAAGACAAAATTTTTTTATTAAAAATGTTTTAAGAGCTCAAAAGTTATCTTGGAATACCTTTGCCCCTCTCCATGGCTAGACCAGACCTCATCTTTCAACTTCTTCTTCTTCTTGGCCTAATTCATGTAACCTGCAGTAGTGCCAAAGATAATCAGCAGCAATATTGTCCCCCTTCTTCTTGTGGAAATATTCCAAACATTCGCTTCCCTTTCTGGTTAAACACCAATACGCATAACTGTACTGGGCTCCCAGCATATAATCTGTCTTGTGAGAACAACCTCGCAGTATTGTATTTAGGATCAGCAAAATTCTACGTTCAGGCTATTGATTATGATAATCTAACAATCCGAGTGGTAGATGCCGGGATTCAGAAAGGTAACTGCTCCTCCATACCTCAATATTACGTGTATGGCCGTTACTTCCACGACCAGCTCCGGTGGCCGTGGGTGTTAGAGGAACTTGTTTTCATAAGCTGTGGAAACCCTGTAAATGCTTCCGATCTCTCTGTTGGCGCCTCTGCCAGCGTTTTCGATCTCTATGTTGATGCCTCTGCCTGCGTTAATGCCAGTTCGTTCTCCACGTCTTACCAGCCTGAATCCAATGGCAGCAAAAGGTATTATTATGTCAAAATCGGCGATTTTAAACCGCGGGAGTTAAAAAGCACTTGCCGGATTGAGCTGATATCACTTTCCCGGTTTTCACGGGAAAAGAATTACAGAAACCTCTCCTACTTGGAAATTCACCGTCAGCTGGAATATGGATTTGAGCTCTCGTGGAAGAAAGCTCCTGGCTGTAAGTGCTCGAAAAATAATTGCTACATAAAAGGGAACAACAGTTGTGTTCCCGATGTTCTGTCAATTGGCCTCTTGTTTTGGTGGTTTTTCCTTTTCTTTGTTAATTTGGCGAAGGTTTAAATTTC